TTAAATGATTAATGCACTTTCAACACACTTTCATTATCAACTGGAGCTGGACTAAACCAAGACCAAAACATGACTTCATCAGAAACTAAAGCCAGACTAAGGCAGGACTACACCAGGACTACAGAGGGACCAAACTAGTACTAAAGCCGGACTACACAGGGACTAAACTAGGACTAAAGCCGGACTACACAGGGACTAAACTAGGACTAAAGCCGGACTACACAGGGACTAAACTAGGACTAAAGCCCGACTACACAGGGGCTAAACTAGGACTAAAGTAGGACTACACAGGGACTAAACTAGGACTAAAGTAGGACTACACAGGGACTAAACTAGGACTAAAGCCGGACTACACAGGGACTAAACTAGGACTAAAGTAGGACTACACAGGGACTAAACTAGGACTAAAGCAGGACTACACAGGGACTAAAATAGAACTAAAGTAGGACTACACAGGGACTAAACTAGGACTAAAGCCGGACTACACAGGGACTAAACTAGGACTAAAGTAGGACTACACAGGGACTAAACTAGGACTAAAGCAGGACTACACAGGGACTAAACTAGGACTAAAGCAGGACTACACAGGGACTAAACTAGGACTAAAGCAGGACTACACAGGGACTAAACTAGACTAAAGCAGGACTACACAGGGACTAAACTAGGACTAAAGCAGGACTACACAGGGACTAAACTAGGACTAAAGCAGGACTACACAGGGACTAAACTAGGACCAAAGCAGGACTACACAGGGACTAAACTAGAACTAAAGCAGGACTACACAGGGACTAAACTAGGACTAAAGCAGGACTACACAGGGACTAAACTAGGACTAAAGCCGGACTACACAGGGACTAAACTAGGACTAAAGCCGGACTACACAGGGACTAAACTAGGACTAAAGCAGGACTACACAGGGACTAAACTAGGACTAAAGCCGGACTACACAGGGACTAAACTAGGACTAAAGCAGGACTACACAGGGACTAAACTAGGACTAAAGCCGGACTACACAGGGACTAAACTAGGACTAAAGCCGGACTACACAGGGACTAAACTAGGACTAAAGCAGGACTACACAGGGACTACACAAGGGCTAAACAGGACAAAACCAAAACTAAACAGGACTAAACTAATATTAGAACATGACTGCACCAGGACTAAACCAGGAGAAAGAAGGACTTAAGCAGCGCTAAACTAGGACTACGCCAGGACTAAACAGGACTAAACAGGACTAAAGCAGGCCTAGAAGAGGACCATAGCGATCCTAAACTAAGAACCTTAGTGAACATGGCGACTATAAACTGTTGGGGAAATCCTGTCTTTCCATCCCTTCATCGGGACAATGCAAATACCTGCCCAGAACCAGACCAGGTGTCAAGATCAGGGCCAGGTCCGAGACCAGAGCCAGAGCCGGAAGTGGTTTCAACCCCAGATCCGGACTCTAGGCCAGACCAGATCTCCGGTTCAAGTCCAGATCCGGATTCAGAGCCAGAAGTGGATCCCAGGTCAGCTTCAATCTCGAGTCCAAGTTCAAAATCAAAACTGGATTTAGAATGTGGTAATAGTCCAGATCCAGATTCAAACTCTGAACCAGACCAGATCTCCGGTTCAAGTCCAGAACCAGACCCGGACTCTAGACTGGACCTGGATGCAGACCCTGACTCAGACTCAAACTCTGTAAAAGCCTCAGATCCGGACCCAGAGGCACTAAACCACTCTTCAAAAACCTAGAAACACAATGTACATAAAGACACCAGTTCAGAATACAGCTGACGTGGCCTGGTTAAAGTTAATGTCTGTAAGTTTGAGAAATGATAAGACGTCATCACAGAACTCACTCCAAAGGTCTGAGTAAAACTCAAATCTATGGTTATCAATTAGAAACAATATATATTTTAAAACACAGACATTCACTTTAAATTTTGTATGAATTAAGCTACAGAATACATATATGCATAACATTACGGGTGTGTGAGCATTTCTTTTCATATAGTTATTTCATGTGACATCACCACCAATAGGAAAAAATAGGTTGTGATTTGGCGGCGACAGTAGCTCAGTTGGTAGAGCATTGGTCTTTGAATATTGTGGATTCGAGCCCACCATGAGACCTTCTTCACAACTCCCACTGATGACTGCTGTTGTTGTGTCCTTGGGCAAGACACTTAACCCCACTTTGCCTGAAGCTCCCACTGAAAGATCTCAGCTCCTGTGGACTCACCACCTGCAGGAGGATCAGTGAGGGGCTGGTGCTCTGTGACTGGGTGCAACTCTGGCTGCCACCCCCCGACCCAGAAATGGATTAAAGGGAAGAAAATGGATGGATGGAGGTTGTGATGTCACATGGTAGAGGGAAGCTGAACAATCTTTTCTGGAAACTAATAGTGTCAAAAGTGATCTTTTCTCTCTTAGTTTATAGATACATTCCTCTGTAATCCCTGGACCAATGCACATGAAACAAGACTGTAAAGTTCGTTGTGAACACATTCTTTTTGATATCTTGTGTTCTCTGGTTTTACTAAATAAAATAATTCATATTAACCTGAAATAAGATAAAATGAAGTCAAAGCTAGAGTCTTCTCTCCTTTCCACACCCAAGCACTCACCGGCAGCCCTGGTTCTCCCTTCTGTCCATCTCTACCCTGAGGCCCAGGGACATCTGAGGGAGGGCTGGGGGTTCCGGGCTGTCCTGGAGGGCCGGGTGGTCCTGGGGGGCCCTGTGTCAGACAAAACACTGTTTAGAGACGAGTAATACAGATGCAATACTGCAGTAACAGCCCAGGTCCTGCGTTCTGCTACAATTCTCTGTGATTATCTGAGGACAGAGCCAGAAACATGATGGAGAAGATGGACTGCTACTGTCATTGTATTTAGTAATTGTTTTTCACCACTGATCATTTCTTTTAGGTGCTCTAAGGGCACGGTCACATAGGTTTTCACAAACGAACTAGGCCAAGTGGCCCGGATCGTCGCCACAGGGGTGTGAACGGGCCGCGGTCACATGAACGTGTTTTCTGAACCGTGCCAGGGAAATTGTGCTGTAGTACAACACTCGGTCCAGCTGGTGGCGCTAATACTAACACCAGAGACTACTTCGTTGCCCTGGTCGAGATCCGCTTCTTTTCCTGTTTACATTCTGCTGCTGTAGCTACAGTAACAGCTACAGCTACAGTAGCTAACAGATAACAGCTACAGCTACAGTAGCTAACAGCTAACAGCTACAGCTACAGTAGCTAACAGCTAACAGCTACAGCTACAGTAGCTAACAGCTAACAGCTACAGCTACAGTAGCTAACAGCTCAGTACGGATCGCGTTGTTTAGGGAAAGATAACATCTCACACTTGTACAATACAATACAATACAATACAATAGAATTTATTCTTGTATAGCCCTAGGTCACAACAGAAGTCATCTCAGAGACTTAACAAAACCATTGAAATCACCAACACAGGTCAGAGAATCAACAGTTAAAACACATGAAGAATATAAAGCACACACAGAAGAAAATGTCCATACATGTTGTAGAATGCTAAAGTGTCCTGATCATCACCAATCCTTTCTGTTGGACACTAACTGTCCAACAAGACCCTCCTGCATCGACAAGGAACAACTCTTAAAAAACCTGTCCAAATTGCTCTGATGCAAAGTGCAGCAGTTCAGTGGGTAACACGTGTGTGTGTGTGCGTGTGCGCGCCGCGGACACACACACACAAACACAAACACACACACACATACTCTTTAGCAACGAGCGTAAGAGCGCTGAGAAATGAATGAATGAGAATGATGGAATGAAAAGTGTGTAGTACGAGCATAGTGACCGTAGACAGGGAGGTTACAAGTGTGTGTGTGTGTGTGTGTTCTGGTGATTAAATAAAGACTAATTCTTGAATGTCTGAAGTGTTATTGCAACAGCACCACACGCTTTTCTTTGGCCCTGCAGAGAGACACTCCCCCAGTGCCCCTCGAGCACGGTCCGGGGCTTTTATTAAAGGTTTAACACAAGCAGAGAATACAAAAGTGCAGGAGAGACGTGTGTGAAAATGCGTGTCACAGGAAGACGTAATGTGACGCACAATATCAAGTCCTCCCCACACCTCATCCCCCCACTCCCCACCACCCGCCACACTGACCCCCCCACCCCCACTCCCCACCACCCGCCACACTGACCCCCTCATCCCCCACTCCCCACCACCCGCCACACTGACCCCCCCATCCCCACCCCCACCACCGACCCCACTGACCCCCCACTCCCCACCACCCGCCACACTGACCCCCTCATCCCCCACTCCCCACCACCCGCCACACTGACCCCCCCACTCCCCACCACCCGCCACACTGACCCCCTCATCCCCCACTCCCCACCACCCGCCACACTGACCCCCCCACTCCCCACCACCCGCCACACTGACCCCCTTCCCTCATCCCCCACCGCCACACTGACCCCCCCCCTCCCCACACCGCCCACCCCCCCCTCATCCCCCACTCCCCACCACCCGACCCCACTGACCCCCTCATCCCCCACTCCCCACCCCCACCCCACACTGACCCCCCCACTCCCCACTCCCCCACACTGACCCCCTCATCCCCCACTCCCCACCACCCGCCACACTGCGCATGCGACCGCAGCCTTAAAGGCGAGTGAAATCCTGTTTGGAATAACAGGTTCAATAATCAATTCAAAAATGACCAGAGAAGCCCAAAAATGCAGCTAAAGTTCTGTCGCATCTAAGGCCCGCCCCTTCTCCCCTTAGCCAATCTCACGGCTGTCAGTGCCAAGTCACCCCGTCTCTCCAGACCTCTTCCCGTCTCCTTTAGCCCCTCCCCATCTCCTCCTCTCGGCACTTTTCCAGGCAAACCATGGATCTATAATAATAACTGGATAGGGTATTACTAGCTTGTAGCTGAATAACTCATGTGCTCGGGGGATTCTCGCGGTACTGCAGACTAGACCAGACTGAACCAGACTGAACCAGACTAAATTCACGTGGGCTACCCAGAAATTTTCCCCATAGGACTCGATGCAAATGAAAACAGCTCAACCTCAGCTGACAGAGAACCTGACAGAGAACCCATAGCTTTAATAAAGGTCAGATTTTGTGGGGATGTTAGTGTCCCTTGTCGTCCTGAACTTTTTTTCTTCTTAAATCCTTCGGTTTTGTTTAAATCCACACTTTAGTGCCACAAACTCTGCTCGTCTGGCTCTGGCTCTAACTCCCGCTCTGATGAACTGCTCTGATTGGTCAGAGCCGAGCCCCTCTGTGCACGTGCGTGAGACCTTCTGTGCACGTGCGTGAGACCCTCTGTGCACGTGCGTGAGACCCTCTGTGCACGTGCGTGAGACCCTCTGTGCACGTGCGTGAGACCCTCTGTGCACGTGCGTGAGACCCTCTGTGCACGTGCGTGAGACCCTCTGTGCACGTGCGTGAGACCCTCTGTGCACGTGCGTGAGACCCTCTGTGCACGTGCGTGAGACCCGGTGTGAGACCCACACACGCGTGTTTGGCGCAATGCATTATGGGAGATCATCCACTGCACAGAACCGGGAGGACCAGACGATGCCCAAATACAGGAGAGTTTCCCATAGATCTTTGAGAGTTTCCCATAGATCTTTGAGAGTTTCTCATAGATCTTTGAGAGTTTCCCATAGATCTTTGAGAGTTTCCCATAGATCTTTGAGAGTTTCCATAGATCTTTGAGAGTTTCCCATAGATCTTTGAGAGTTTCCCATAGATCTTTGAGAGTTTCCCATAGATCTTTGAGAGTTTCCCAAAGATCTTTGAGAGTTTCCCATAGACCTTTGAGAGTTTCTCATAGATCTTTGAGAGTTTCCCAAAGATCTTTGAGAGTTTCCCATAGATCTTTGAGAGTTTCCCATAGACCTTTGAGAGTTTCCCATAGATCTTTGAGAGTTTCCCAAAGATCTTTGAGAGTTTCCCATAGATCTTTGAGAGTTTCCATAGATCTTTGAGAGTTTCCCATAGATCTTTGAGAGTTTCCCATAGATCTTTGAGAGTTTCCCATAGATCTTTGAGAGTTTCTCATAGACCTTTGAGAGTTTCTCTCATAGATCTTTGAGACTGTTTCCCATAGATCTTTGAGACTCCATAGATCTAGAGTTACTCCCATAGACTTTGAGAGTTTCCCATAGATCTTTGAGAGTTTCCCATACTACTTTGAGAGTTTCCCATAGATCTTGAGAGTTTCCCATAGACTACTTTGACTAGTTTACTACCATAGATCTACTGCTACTACTACTACTACTACTACTACTACTACTACTACTACTGCTACTACTACTATTACTACTACTACTGCTACTACTACTACTACTACTACTACTGCTACTACTACTACTACTATACATGGGTTTCTGGTCGACGTCTGGGGGGTGCACGAAGCAGCGGCATTGGCGACGTCACGACAGGATGAGAAGTTGTTGTGCTGTAAATTGCGCAAATAGAAGCGATAATGGGTGGCGTATGTTGAATATCCCGAGAGGACGTCACCCATTTGCCCAAAACAGAAGAAGATTGTGGCTTCGGGCAATTAAAAGAGCAGATTGGGGTTTGAGTGGACCTAAAACTGGAATGAGCATTTGTGGAGCACACTTCATATCTGGTAAGTTTGTGTGTCCTACAGTAGCTAATAATCCAAATGTCCTATCCATAAGTGACCACTAGGTTACATGATGTCGCTAGATGTAATCTTGTTCAGTCAAGTTAAAGCTAGCTCACTTTTTGCGCTGCTACAACAAACAAACAAACAGCTAATATTGCTAAAATGCTAACCGGAGGCTAATTGCGATTAGCATTTTGCTAAATAAGTAGTTAGCTAGGGAGGGAGAGAAACAGCCTCCTAGTAACTAAACAGTTGTTCATAAGTGAGCCTGTGTAGCCTCCTAGTGACAAAATGATACTGTGAGTGGAAGAAGAGCACACCAATATTTTTGAGCTGTAAAACTATCTGCAACCACGAAGTTTGTGGTGTTTTAGCATAAATACATAGACAACTAGAGAACATAAGTGATTAAAAGGTAATAATTACCTGAGCTAATGTGGCTTTTTCCCATTATTAGGAGAGCCGTCTATGGATTGTGACAGTCCAGATTTTGTGCCATCTCTTTTTCCACATAGTGCTCCAGACCCAACAGCAAAGGTGGCAAGGTATGTATGAATTAGTCTGTAATAGGGTTTAATATTTTTCCCGAAAACGAGACGTATTAAATCCCGGGAAAAGACGACGCCTTTCCCAGGAAATCCCGGGAAATAGCTGTTGTTTGTAGTTGTTGTTTTTAGCCAAAGTAATGTATGATATCACTCAAATATATAATCCAACAAAAGCTGCCATCTCCACTAGTGTTTCACCGAGCGACGTGCTTTTCTAAATTAACCATAGCATTTTCAGACGTTTTGTTGATGGGCTTTCTTCAGGAATTTCACTATTATGAGATTGTAAATGTCTGTAATCCACTTGTCGACCAGTGACGTGTGGTTTGGAGGCACTGACTTCAGCCCAATCAGATGAACATATATCATATAAATCAACAGAACCTACAGAGCGGCTTATTCATAATTAGTTTGGCTACAGCAGAATGTTTTCCATGGCCCGCATTGTTTGCTCAAACAAAACGCAAAAGTTCGTAAAAGGCACATTTCCAATTGTGTTATGGGTCTTACCTTAGTTATTAATGAACAGCACAGACCACTTCAGTTCAGACCAGTTTCATGTTTAAGTCCAGATAATAGTTTGAGCGCAGATATGTAATCCCCCATTTGGAAATAAGCCCAAAGAGTTTTAAAGCGTAAAACAAAACAGGTGCCACCTCCATAAACTCACGTATTTTCGCTGCAGCCGACTCTCGGGCGCATCCAATTTCTAATATCAACCTTCTTACCCTTCTCCTCTCTTCCTTATCATTCCTATCGTCACTGGAAGCAGAACATTACCCTAAATGCATTTTATATGATCTTCAAATGGGTTATATGTGTGTTAGCCAAACCTGTTGCTGCCCTTAGCAGATAGAAAAAAAGAAAGGAGCTTTCTGATAGAATTGGACGTAGCCAAATTCTGGGCTCACATGTGCCCCGTACCCTGAGGCTGGCCTCATTACAAATCGTGGTTTAGCGCGATTAAGACCCATATTTGTTGTCAAAAACACAATTTATGAGCCATCCTCTCAGCTGTAGACATGTTGATTGTAAATGAAATATGTTTGAACTTTAACAACAATAAACGTGCTCTATAATAGGAGCGCACTGGATTTTTTTTTTAAACTTTCATTTCCCGTTTCCCGTCATAACATTTCCCGGGAATCGGGAAAGAGTTTTGATCAGATTTCCCGGGAATCCCGTGTCCCAGGATTAAACCCTAGTCTGTAATATTCTAACCTGACTGTGTAGCCTCGTTAATTGGAGCCAAAATATTTTAAATAATTATGTTTTGACACAGTATTTTGTATAATGTCTTATAAATATGAAAGAATTCGTAGAAGGCAGGACAGGGCATCTGCTACTAGCTCCACACTCCATGCTGCTGCTGATGCGGAGGCTGATGCGGAGGCTGATGCGGAGGCTGATGCGGAGGCTGATGCGGAGGCTGATGCGGAGGCTGATGCGGAGGCTGATGCGGAGGCTGATGCGGAGGCTGATGCGGAGGCTGATGCGGAGGCTGATGCGGAGGCTGATGCGGAGGCTGATGCGGAGGCTGATGCGGAGGCTGATGCGAAGGCTGAACCTGAATCAGGTATACAAAATTCTGGAGATGGGAGTTGTGTCTGTGTGTTGTACCCATGTCAAAATGTTCTTTGCATGTGTAATGGTAAGATGATACATTTTGTGCACAAACATGAAGATCCAATTTTTTGAAAAATCTGTGATTTTATAATGTGAATACTATAATGTAAAATGTGTTTGTAATGTGTTATAATGTAAATTGTGCTAAAAGCCCTCCTAGGGACGGACATTCCAAATTAGCCATTGCTATAAGTGTTCTAGTGTTTCACATGTTGGTTGTGTAGCACTTGTCCCTATTAAATAAATAAACATTCCATTGGATCTTCAGCATGTCACTCACCTCTACCTTTTTTTTTCTAATGACGTGTTTGTGTATTTTGTTTTTCTTTTAGATGACTTTGTGCCCAGAAAGGACTTTGATCAACTCAGCACGCAGTATCAACAACTTGAGGACGACCATGTGGCTTTGAAAAGGGAACTGGAGGCTGTAAAGTCAGAGAATCAACAGCTGCGGGAACTGCTTAAACTCTCTAAATTTGGGTTTGATTCATTGAAAGATTCAGCACTCTGTTTTTATACTGGATTGGAGTCTATGCAGGTTTTCTTGTGGCTGTTAACCATCCTCAAACGAACCACTTTAGTGCTAAAGGGTGGGTTAAGCTGGGAGAACCACCTCCTTTTGGTTTTAATGAAAATCAGACTTGGCCTCACCAATAGAGATCTGGCACAACAATTTGACCTTTCTTTCTCAAATGTGTCAAAAATCATAAGGGAGTGGATACCCTTGTTATCATTAACTTTGAAACCATTGATAATTTGGCCTAGTAAGGAAGCAGTTACAGCAAACATGCCAAAATGTTTCAAACCAAAATTTAAGAACTGTCGTTGCATTATAGACTGTACAGAAATCTTCATAGAGCGAACATATAATCTGAAAGCAAGAGCTGAAACTTTGTCAAATTACAAGCATCAAAATACCATAAAATATTTAATTGGAATAACTCCAGCTGGGGCAATATCTTTTTTGTCTGATGGGTGGGGTGGTCGTGCCTCTGATAAAGTAATAACTCTGGGTTCCGGAATTTTGGAAAATCTTGAGAATGGAGATGAGATTCTTGCAGACCGAGCTTTCCTAGTTAGAGAGGAATTGGCTGTTGTGGGAGCAATATTAAGAATACCAAGTTTTACCAAGGGGCAGTCCCAGTTGCCTGCTTCATGTGTCGACACTTCACGCCAGTTGTCAAGAGTCCGAATACATGTGGAGAGAGTTATTGGTCATCTTAAAGACTTTAAGATCTTAAACACAGTCATACCCATTAGCCATGTTGATATGTTGGATGACATTGTAACTATATGTGCATGTCTCACCAATCTTAGGAGGACTGTGGTTCCCAAATAACATTAAAGAATTTGGGGTTTGTGATTCACATTACTTGCAAAATAATAATCGGGTAAAACAATTGGACATTTTATTTAAATAACACTGTAAAAGTCAAGAATGTGAAAATATCTTATAATTTGAAGGTACTGAATGTAAATGACATACTGAAGGAAAGGACAAAAATGTTAGATTAGATTGGTTTATTTGAAAGGGGACAGTGCAATTTCATGTAACACATGAACAAACATGGTTAAAAAAGCCAGAATTAGCCAGAAGGCTATTTTTCATCTGTAGTCCCCTGGCCAAGATGTAAAAAGGCATTAAAATAATGCCATGTAATCGGAATACATGTAAATAATATGAATTAATGAAAATGTTAATTTTTTGATTTATTTTAAAGAATGCTGTACAAAGGTGTGTGAACGACTAAATGGTGTTGAGTCTTAATTTTTCGTTTCTGCCTTGAGGGACTATTATATTGTGTATTATCATCTCCAGGCATTATTTACATGTCTTTGCAGCCGCATTTCTAGGTTTTGGAGCATCTGGTAATGTTCACACATGCACAGTGAAACATTTGGAAGCAGTCAGTGCACTTGATCATTTTGCCAAAACTAGACCGTTTGCAGTGCAGACAGCGGATCTCTTCAGCCAGTTGAGGGTCTTGGTAGTGGCAGATGAGCTCTGGAAGGAGATACTCCATAAAGAAAAACTTGGCCTTGGGAAGGTTTTCTTGCAGAAAAGGCTCATCTCTATTTATCCGACAAATAATGCTGGTTGTCTTGGTCTACACCATGAAATCACAAATGTCCTTTTGGCAAACATGCATCTGCAGTTGAATCTGGGCATAGTAAGGGTGGCTACGGCGCAAGCCATAGTTTTCAGCAAGGCAGAACGATGCGTCACACTCTGACCCCTGTAGTCCATCCCTGAATTTGTATGGGCATTAAATCTCAAGTACACCTGCTTTGCAGCAGTCACACGAAAAAGCTCCATCAGGAGAGGCAGCAAGGTATGGCTCATCTGCTTTCACTGTTAAACCCACTTTCTTCAAAGTAAAGTTAATGTGTGTTTTTTTCCTTTCTGTGAGGTAATGTTCACGAGCCGTGTCTTCCATTTTTTTTCCCCACACTACTGCTGGTACAGTAAGCTCTTTAGCTTCATACTGCATTATTTGCCTGACAACAGTTTGAGAGGAGGAGTCTTTGCATGTTACAACCTTGTGAAAGGTACTGGCCGTTATGCGTCCAGCTCTGTGTGTATTCCATGTTGCACACTTAGACTGCTCTTTAGTCACATCCTCTAGATATTCAAGCCCACTCTCTGTGTATCCACTTATCATTTTGTCAAAGCTGGCTTTGCACTTGACTTTAAGCTCAACTGATGTCAGCTGCCTAGCAGATGGGTCAAACATAGCTGTCAGAGGTTCAGGGAGCTCATATTCAGTCTCTGATGCTGTGTCTGTGTCTGAATCTGCATCTGTATTGATAGATGTAAACACAGCTGCATCTGGACATGTAATTTTCAGACTTTGCAGGTCTTCAGTTGTAATTGCTGTGTGTATAAGAAATGGAGACAGAATTATTAACAGGTTAAGTACTGCAGGTACAAATTACTACATCAATAACTGTTTAAAAAATATACTGTATTGCATTTTAGAAAAAATATTTGTTTTTAAAGCTAAAAGCTGAAAAGTGTCCTGGGTTAAATAAATTCTGTTACATTGTCCATAAACCGATTTGTGGAACCACGTGTCTAAACTACAGTGACATGATCTTATGACATCACTCGCGTCTGTTGTTTGGACTGGTAGGGGGCGCTGAAGTTGTAGAAGCCTGGTCATGTTTACTTTTGGCCGGCTGAAGTTAATCAATTTAAGCTTCTGTGGCTCAGCATTTTTCCTGGACTTCTTCCACTGATTGGGCATGGACGTACAGGCAACCTCCTCCGAGTAATTCGTCCTCCCCGTCATCTCCACCAAATACATGATGGCTGCAGCGTGACTACAGCATGACGCCAGGCTAAAGTGATGGATAGTTCATTAGCGTCATTTATGTGAGTAATTAGCCGTCTTTCATACATACCTTGCCATACAAGAACAGTTTGCTGTAAGGATGTACCCCAAGTCTTTGTGGACGTACACCCAGGCATCATAAGGCTTTGACTTTATGCCCAGTCTCTGACTGGGGAGCACATCAGCTCTCAAAACACAGAACTCAGTCCCAGAGTTGTAGTATTTTACATTCCTCACATAATTGTATGCATCTATAGACTTATAGTGAGTAAGTAAGCTTTTATTTATATACCGCCTTTTCACTGCACATCGGAGTCTCAAAGTGGTTTACAATTGTTGGGTGGGGGGGCCAGTACAGGAGGCGGTAACGCTTTATATTAAGGTGTGCTTGTTAAGTATTAATAAGATATTAATAGGCATTAGTAACCTGCTTATAATTTGCTTGTATGTACTTAATAACATATTAATAAGCTGCTTATTTCACTATTATATAAATGACGTGTTCTAGTTATAAGTTTGTAAGCGTTCAATAAGTAATTACTAAGCAGCTTATTACAGGATGACTATGTATTATTAAGCTGCTTATTACACTGATGGCGAACCTCAGGTTAGTAGGCCACTAATAATATGCCTATAAAGATATTAACAAGCTGCTTATTACACTAACGTATAGTCTCAGGTTAATACGCAGCTAACGATGTGCTTGTAAATGTGTTAATAAACTGCTTATTACACTATTTTGCAGCACCCTAATCTAAAGTGTGGACCATATGTGTGAATACAGAAAAAAACACAACCATGATCTAGAATTCTTTTACTTACAGTCTCAGGTTAATACGCAGCTAACGATGTGCTTGTAAATGTGTTAATAAACTGCTTATTACACTATTTTGCAGTACCCTAATCTAAAGTGTGGACCATATGTGTGAATACAGAAAAAAACACAACCATGATCTAGAATTCTTTTATTTAATCAAACAGCAACTATCAAAAGGTTTAAAAATGACGGTAAACATGGTTGAACACACTCAGACCTGCTTTAAGAATAAATTTGGCCTTGGCAAAACTAACTGCAATCTGAAAACTTGTTAACAAAAATACAATAGAACTGTGCCACCTTCCAAAAAAATCAATCAGTTGTCTTCCCAATGGGAATAAGCTGGCCAGATTTTTTTAAGTCTTTGATTTTATTTTCAATTGCAGAATTGCTGGAGATTGCGTTGATGCATTTTTTGGTGAAATCACCAAGTTTATCTTTTCGGCTGTGGAGTTGTTTTAGCTCCTCATATTTTTTGGGCGCTGCAATGGCCAATTCTGCAACAGGTGCGTTATAGACCACAGTGTTGCGATCCACCTCCACTTTTGCGCACGAGGCAGACAGTGATCTCCCTTTTGAATAAGCCTTGAGGACCTTCCTGTAGCGCTGCACCACTTCATCTGGAATGCTAGCTGAAAAATAGGAGATGTGATGACTTACAGTATATGATAAATCATTATGTCCTCTGCATGTGATATTCTCTATAAAATTGTGGTAAGACCTGACACAAACTTTTTGTCAAGTTCATTATAGCCTTTGTCTATTTATCTATCCATGTCTTTAAAGTGTAGATGTGACAGTGTTTTTTCAACCTTTTTTGAGCCAAGACACATTTCTTTCATTGAAAAAGGGCCTTGACATTAAGCTGTGTTTAAAATGTCTCAATACAATGAGTTAACAATAGTTTGGGAGGGAAGTGGCATTAATTGTGTGGAAAAAAAACATTAAGAAAATCCCCTCTCTGCCCAAATAATGACTCAGAGGGCTCTTTAGTGTGCAAAATAATAATACAAAAAAATGGCCTGATGTGTTGTGTTTGCTTTATTCACATTTTACTTTTGTGCACAAATAACATACAGTTTGTGCATGGGGAAAATGTAGGTATCAGAGCTTTAAATTCAGGAGTTTTGGTAGCACTTCGAAAGGAGACACGAGAAAGACACGAGAAAAATACGGGAGGTCCTGAACACGAGTCCATGGTTCTGTCTGCATCTATGGTTCTGTCCGTGTGTGTATGTATGACTCTGTCCGTGTTTCTATGGTTCTCTCCATGCGTCTATGGCTTTGCACGCACATCCATGGTTCTATCCACGTGTCTATGGTCCGCGCTTGGTACCCAGTTCGGATGTGCGTAAGGTGAGCTGTTGTCAAAACGGCTGTCAGGTTAGAGCAACGCGGCCACAGGTTAGAGCAGAGGATGTGAATCCTGTTCAGAAATGGCATAATTCACTTTTACTTCTTACCAGCCACAAAGCTCCCGTATTGCCTCTCTTACATTTGGTGGTCACATCCAACTTTTTACATTTCTCGCTTTAATGTTCCTCGCTACCTGTTACATCCAGAGGTCGCATCCATTTTTTTAATTTCAAAGTACTTAGCTATCTGCTGCCATCTACTGATATGGAATGGTTTTACATGGTTACTACACAGTTCAAAACAAGTCAGCACTCGTTGTTGGAGAAATACAGTTATTTTTAGACAAAGTAGGCACATTTATCACGGCACACCAGACGATATCATACAAACAATTAATATAGAAATGGAAATTACCTCTCCGTACAGGTTTCAAGTCTCGTTTTTTGCTTGCACCTTTGCTTTTCTTATTTTTCTTCATTTTTCTGGACTTTCTTTTTTTCTTTTTCTGTCTTTTTTTTGGAGAATCATCGGAAGATGATGTCTCACTGTATATACAATTTGCATTAAACTTGTGGATAGGGCCGAATGAGATGGCAGAGAAATAATCATGATTAGTAAAGTCGTATGTAGTGATGTGCAGTATTGAGTTGATATCATTTGTAACCTTTCAGTACTTCCTGGTTGTTGGTAAACCTTTGTTGAGAACAAAAACAGTTCCATTGAGCTTCACAGAAAACTAACTGATAAACAGAATAAAAACAGTGAAAATTAATGCAGTGTTTTACATAAAGTGTGTTGCTTCCAATCTCAAAGTGTGTTCAAGCAACAGGAAAAAACTGTAAAACACAATTCACGATACATTTGCCTTTCGAAACGGTAATTTTATTCTGATTAGGGTTAACTATCACTAACCCTAGCCCCCTGATTTTTTGTTTTTTGAAAGATGCGCTGGGTAACGGCTGCAAGTCCTCAGTAGCTGTGATTAATAGTTGTTGTTTTGTGCATTACAATTTTTATTTGTATTGGTTTTTTCTGCCTGAGATGTTGCTTCAGTACAGTGTGCAAAGTTTTGCACTGGTCCAGAATGGAGCAGAGAGGATTCACGGTCCAAACCAAGCGGATTAGGTGAAAATCCACTGGAGGAATGCACCTCCACCTGAATTTCTCCTTCGGGGGATCAATCAAGTATCTATCTATCTATCTATCAAGGGGGACAGTAGCTAAATAGTTTAATAAACCGCAGATCCAAAAAAAAAAAAAAAAGGCCTTATCTCAAGAATACTGTAAATATAATTGTGTTACGATTGCAACTCTGTTTTGGATTGCAGTATTTGCCCAGCAAGGGGTGGATTATGCAAAATTCAGCAGAATCATACCCAATTTTTCTTTCAATAAATCCCTCTCTGCTGTTAGTTCCTTGAGCTGTTCTTGCTGCTGCGCTAGTTCCTTGAGTAGTTGTTTCTCACGCAGATGAGCAGTTGGTGAAAGTGCATCAACAGCTGTAGTGAACAAAGAA